TCTACAAAGCAATATCAAAAGTTCCTGTTTGACATCAACTTTATGGATATATAGTTTCCAGAACATTTATTTTTTTAAAAAGATCAATTTTTCTCAGTGGGCCAGTAAATGCATGACGAAAATTATGGCATCCTTTCGGTGGAATCAGTACTCACAGGTAATAGTTGACTGTTTCAATGGATGCAGCATAAAAATCTTTTACTGACCTAATGCAATACATATACACTTTGTAGTTAAAGAATTTTAAAGTTCTTACTGTCATCATGGCAGCTACATCCTTTAGCTTTGTGCCCTGTTCCCCCGATCACTTTGCAAAACACTTTCAGCAGACTGTGAGAGAGAAACTCAGCTCCGTCAGAAACCTTGACTGTAAAGGCATGGTTGGGATGCACTGGAATGCTGCATTTCATCTGAAATGACATAAAATTATTTGAAATAACAGCAGGCACTGTGCTTGGTAATAATCAGTAATGTTTTGTTGAATAAAAACTGTGTTTCCAGATCTTATGGGATTAAAAAAATGTTTATTTCTGATTTGCAACCCAAGAACCCACAAGTTACAACCTCATTTAGTTCAAGTGTGCATTAATGTGAGTCCAGTAATCACCTTTCTGACAATACATACAGGTATAAGTTAAACCTATGGCAGATTTTGGATTTCTCAGTTGTATTAATAGGGTGGTCTATTTGAGTATGCATGCACCTAATAATTATAAAAAACCTATTATAATTAAGTTACAGAAACCTTAAGCGAAAATAGAATATACTTTCTTACCATAACACCTTGAACCCACAATCCATCAGCTGACTCCTGGTGAAATGCAGAATAGATGTGGTCTCTCAATGTGCATCAACAAAAACAAACAAACAAAAACAAAAGGACAGCAGGTGAGGGCAGGAGGGGTAGGGATGTAAGCTAGCATAATGCCGCTGATGATATTAGCTAAAGCTGTTCAATGTCCAAAATCTCACTAACACCACGGTGCAGTAAATACACAATGTAACTGAAGAGTCAGTTGACAAATCTATTCACACAGAAAACCAAATTATGTTATGAGTGCCTCGTAATAGGTTTAATGTGATATTACGGCTCTTGTGCCAAAGATAAATTCAAATGAAAAAGCGCCAATTCTTTGATAACAGATAAAACAGCAAATAAGCTAACGGCTCTTTTTTAGCATGTTACATGGCGGCACTTTAGACGTTTAACTACATTTGGCTGAAATATGGTAAATATTAATTCAAAAAATCAAGACATACCAAAAAACGTAGAGTTGGCTGCTCGACTTGACTGAGATGGATGCATTTTTTAAACCACGATCCAAAGCCCGCGAGATGAAATCACGCGTGGTTTCACGAGATTTAACGTTGCTATCTTATTGACTTACTTCACCTGAACATGATATAAACAATTTAATACACCCTTTCTGCATATCATGTAGTTTTTACACTATATAGTTACATTTATCTTTAAAACATGAGCAATTGTGTTAAATACATGCAAGATGCTTACATAAATCCAAGAGATGGCCAGTCCCTTTTTTCAGTGTAGTGTAAATGACCCAGATTATTTGTTTATTTGATATTTTTCAAACAGTTAAATCCCTGAACGAATTATACCTTATAATATAGATTAAACTCTTATTTTGAAATTCGGAACGGGCAACTTCCGGGAAGGAAGATCGTACCGCAACTGCTTGCCGCAGAAAGGATTAATGAGAAGGTTATCGTTTTCCATCCATCTTAAAATTAGCATCTAGTGGAAGGCGAACAGGTATGTTTGTGTGTTGTACTTGTTGTTTACATTTCGGACAATTTGTAAATGTATTACTTGATTGTTAATAAGTTTATGAGCGATCTAGCAGGCTGATGCTAGCACCTCCTGTGCCTTTTCTGTGAATTGATTAGCATAACAGAAACGTGGTTATATCAAGTGAATGTTTTGTTTTATGTTATGGTTACAGCTCTTACGATGTGTCTATGGCAATTTGTGAATAAATGGGTTGGAATACCCCACCATGGTCCATCCGTAATGATCATTGAGTGCATCGTCTGAATAAAGTCCGGCTGGAATGCTACAGTAAGAGCTGATCCCCCGCATCATCCTGCTGCCATCCTGCACCACGAACCACGAGGACGAGTCACGGAGCTGTGTTGCTATTCGTCTGGGATTGACAAGACATTTCACGGAGCAACTCAGTGCCATTCTATGGGTCTTCTAGACAGAGACTTTATAATCATCATGCAGCTGGCTTAATGGTTTGATGTGACGGTCAGAAAAGGTATGGAACATTTCATTCTAATCGACAAGGAAAGGACATTCATTCTCATCAGTGGTGGTTAAAGGGAGAGAGAAGGTCGTCAACTACTGTGGACATCTGCTGCATTAAGACACAACGGACATGAAGTAATAACAAGTGAAGTAATTTTGTTTATTGGTATTTACCACCACTACTGTATATTTATCATTCTTTCTACTGACCCAAAAGGGGGTGAAAGAGGGCATTTAGTTCAATTTGTAACTGTACATAGTAATGGTGTATTGATCTGTGTTTAGCATAAGAGGTTTACTTTACCACATCAGTTTGCAACAGCTAGCAGGTTGCATTTATTATTTTATACATTTCTTCTCAATGTTGTGTTGGTTATCCGCTTCTATTTCAACTTGGTTTAAAGTGCAAAGATTCTCCTCCCTTCTGTTAATGCAGCCTGTAAGTTATAGTAACCACAAGCAGCTCATTAACTAAAGCCTGCAAATTAGATAAGTAAATAACATAAACATGAAGGAAATGGAGACTCCCTCCTCACAAACAGAACTAGAGCATCAGATAGTCGACCTGCAGAATAAAATCAAAGGGCTTAAGGCGTCTCTTGAAGACACATCAGAAACTACGGAAATAGAACTTTTGGAGAAGGAAATTCAACGCAGAGAAGAAACGTTGAACAACTTACAAGGTGAGCTTAAGGAAGGCCTCCGACGTTCCACTCGAACAAAAATCCCAACTCCAAAGGCGCTCGAAATGCAGCAGGAGGAAGCAAGAAAAAGGGAAAGAAAGTTCATCTCAACGTACGAAAGATGGAAGATTCGAGCCCGAGAGTCAAGAGAGCAGCTCAAGTCAGACATTAGTAAAGGCGAGCTGGCATCTTTGATGGATTCTTTGGAGAAAGAGAAAGAAACTGTGTTAAACACTTACCTTGAAATACGAAGTCACATTACACCTTCTCCAGAATTAAGACGTCACGTTGACAGTTGTGAGGCAGTTACAGCCGAAATTATGAAAGTTACCTACGAGAGAATGTCAGATCTCGATGGTGATTATGATGCAGAACAAGTACATTGCCGTCTCAGGGAGCTGCTTAAGAACAGCTACGCACGCTCCATCTATGGATCCACTGCATCTAGAGTGACAAAGTCAATCCGTAGTCACAAAAGCACTACTCTAACACTCAAACAGGCGGATGCAGCAGCAGAGCTAGCTGCTAAGGAAGTCGAATTTGAAGGGTTGCTGGAAGAAGAGAGACAAATGGAGAAGATAGAGGAACAGCACAGAAAAATGGAAGTAGAAAAACGCAGACTTGAACGCCTTCAAGCAGAAAAGAATTTGAGGGCTGCTCGGGCCAAACTGCAAGTCTACAGCCAGGTAGCCTCGCAGGAAGGCAGTCTCCATTCCTCTAATAGTTCAGTGGGAAACCATCATGTTCCCCCTGCTATCAACCCTCCAACTCCCACCGTCACAGCATCGCCACCCGACCTAAACGTGTCATCCCTTGCCCAAGCCCTACAAGACAGTATGGCTCTAAATAGACTTCCAGTTCCAGAGCCGTCTGTATTTAGTGGGGACCCCATTCAGTTCATTGAGTGGAAAACTTCATTCATGTCACTTATTGACAAAAAGGCCATCTCCCCAGCAGACAAACTTTATTACTTGAGGAAGTATGTAGGCGGCCCAGCTCGTAAAACATTAGAAGGAACTTTCTATAGGAATGACAGCGACGCTTATAAGGATGCGTGGAACAAACTGGATAACAGATATGGCCAAACCTTTATTATACAGAAAGCCTTCAGAGATAAGCTCACAGATTGGCCAAAGATCCAACCAAGAGATGCAGAAGGATTAAGAGACTTCTCAGATTTCTTAAACGCTTGCCAAGATGCAATGACACATGTGAAGAGCCTCGAAATACTGAACGACTGTGAAGAGAATAAGAAGCTAATCCTTAAACTACCAGAGTGGATAGCATCTCACTGGAACAGGAAGGTTACTGAAGCCTTAAAGGGCAATAAGGAATTCCCCAGTTTTAAGGACTTCGCCACATTTATGGCGACAGAGGCAGAGATTGCTTGCAATCCAATCACCTCAGCTTATGCCCTCCGCAGCTCTGAGTCGAGCACTGCAAAACAAGGCAGCAGAGACCCTAAGAGGAACAAGGCAAGCGTTCTAAACACACAGACTGAGGCTGACACCGAGAGGCTCAAGCCAGTTAAAGGAAAGGAAAGGTCTCCTTGTGCCTTCTGTCAAAATAATCAACACAGACTACATGGATGTCCCAAGTTTATTGCTAAAACTCTGGAGGAGCGTCGAGATTTTGTCAGAGAACATAAGCTCTGCTATGGCTGCACCAAACCTGGACATAGTGCAAAAGACTGTCGACATCGACACTCATGCAAAACGTGCAAGGGTAAACATCCCACTTGTTTACACGATGACAACTATTTAAAGAAGGAAAGAGTTCTGCCACAGGAAACCACTATCCTGAGCAATGCCGGCCAAACGGAGGCTGCTGCAACTTCAATGTCAGTGATTACTGGACAGCCAACTAACACATCAATGATTGTGCCTGTGTGGGTGTCAAAAAAGGATACAGGAACTGAGAAACTGGTTTACGCCTTGCTAGACACGCAAAGCGACACGACGTTTGTTGAGCAGGAACTGAGTGATGTATTAAAGGCAGATTCCTGTCCAGTTAAGCTGAAGTTAACTACGATGATTGGACGCGACGTGATCGTAAAGAGCCAAAGAGTCTCAGGGCTTTGTGTTCGGGGTTATCGCTCTTCCCTCCTCATCGACCTTCCTCCTGCTTATACCAAGGATTGCATACCAGTAAACAGAGCCCATATCCCAACATGCGAGACAGCTAAAAGGTGGAATCATCTCTCCAAGGTCATAGAAGAGATTCCACCTCTACAGGACTGTGAGGTTGGTTTATTGATAGGCTATAACTGCGTACGAGCAATGGCACCAAGAGACGTCATAACGGGAGGAGACGATGAGCCTTATGCAATTCGTACCGACTTAGGATGGAGCATAGTTGGTGGTACGTCGACATGCCCCGACACCTCAAGTACGGCGGGACAGTGCTTCCGAGTTGCAGTCAGGGAGCTCCCACCAGTCACTCCGGCAGATGCCATTCGCATTCTAGAGTCTGACTTTAAGGATGCTAAGGAAGACGGCAAACCAGTGTCTCAGGAGGACATCCTGTTCCTGGACAAACTCAAGAACCACATCGAAAAGAACAGTCTAGGTCACTACGAGATGCCGTTGCCCTTTAAGGAGAGACCTACCTTACCTGACAACAAACAGCTTGCAGTCATACGTCTGAGCCATCTAAAGAGGAAGCTGTTAAAGGATGAAGGGTACAAAGAACAGTATATCAAGTTCATGGAGGAGGTCATAGAAAGGGGTGATGCAGAGGAAGTCCACGATGATGGGAAAGAGGGCGAAAAATGGTACATACCTCATCACGGTGTATTCCACGACAAGAAGCCAGGCAAACTGCGCGTGGTGTTCGACTGCTCTGCCAAGTACCAGGGAACCAGTTTGAATGATCATCTGCTCACTGGACCTGACCTGATGAACAATCTCAACGGTGTACTTCTTCGCTTCCGGTTGCACTCCACTGCATTGATGTGCGACATAGAGAAAATGTTTCACCAATTTCATGTGAAGAAGTCAGACCAGGATTACCTGCGCTTCCTTTGGTGGAAGAAAGGAGATCTCGGTGCACAGCCCCAAGAATACCGTATGAGGGTGCATATCTTTGGCGCAGCCTCATCGCCTGGCTGTGCGAACTACGGATTGAAGCATTTGGCTACAGAAAATAAGGACCGATACCCATTAGGCTCTCAGTTCATTCTGAGAAATTTCTATGTCGACGATGGAGTCACAAGTACAGACAGCTCAGAGAAGGCTATCAAGTTAGCAGAAGAAGCCAGAAAACTTTGTGCCCTGGGTGGTCTTAGGCTCCACAAGTTTGTGTCCAATGACAAAGCTGTCCTGGTAAGCATACCAGCAACTGAACGTGCATCAGACATTAAAGACCTCAACCTTGCCTTTGATAACTTACCTTCAGAGAGAGCGTTGGGTATCCAATGGCACGTCGAATCAGACTGCCTGAAGATCAGCACCAACCTTAAGGAACAGCCTGCAACACGTCGAGGCATATTGTCCATTGTTGCATCCCTGTACGATCCCTTGGGTCTCATAGCCCCCTTTTTGCTCATTGGAAAGGAAGTGCTGCAGCAGATGTGCTGCCATGGAACAGGTTGGGACGACCCTCTAACCAACGAACTTCGTCCACGGTGGGAGAAATGGAAAAACGACCTCAACAACTTGGAGAGGATAAATATACCCCGAAGTTATGCCCCGGCAGATTTCGGAAGGGTTATTAAACGTGAGTTACATCACTTCTCCGACGCAAGCACTACTGGCTATGGACAGTGTTCATATCTGAGGCTTAGCAATGAAGAAGGAGACATCCACTGTGCTTTAGTCATGGCCAAATCTCGTGTCGCCCCAACAAAGGTCACCACGATCCCAAGATTAGAGTTGACGGCTGCAGTCATCTCTGTGAAAACCAGCAATGTTTTGAAGGAAGAACTTGGATATGCGGACATTGAAGAGCATTTTTGGACCGATTCCAAGGTTGTACTAGGGTACATCAATAATGAGGCTCGACGTTTTCATACATTCGTAGCCAACCGTATCCAGAAGATACATCTCTACACGAATCAAAGGCAATGGAGATACGTCCCTACTGACCAGAATCCTGCGGATCGTGCTTCTAGAGGTTGTTTTGTCCATGAGCTAATATCATCGGACTGGTTTACCGGCCCTGCATTTCTATGGGAAAAGGGAGTTGACCTCTCAGAAGAGGTGGCTCCGGAACTGTCAGTCGGAGATCCAGAAGTTAAGGAAACACGGACTCTAAACACGGAAACTGTAGAACAAGATTCTCTTACTTATCGGCTGGCAAAGTTCTCATCCTGGACTCGTGCCATCTGTGCAGTGGCTCGCATTCTTCGAAGGATCAACAAGGATAAGTCAATCGGCCTCTCTACAGTGCAGGAAAGAGAAGAAGCCGAGCGCCTCATCATCAAAGATCTGCAGAGACAAACATATTCGGAGGAAGTGCGGCTACTGAAGAAAGGTTGTCAGCTGCCACCTCATAACAAGCTACATCACCTCAACCCCTTCTTGGACAACAATGGTGTGATTAAGGTGGGAGGTCGACTCCGTGATTCAAACCTTCCTCTCTCAGTTAAACACCCTACCATCATTCCAAAGGAACATCATGTTACAAGGATGATCATAGCATACTGTCATGAAGAAGTCAAACATCAAGGCAAGGGGATGACTCTCAGTGCAATTAGGACAAGAGGTTACTGGATACCAGGAATTGGCAGGACGGTTGCATCCTATCTTCGCCGATGTGTAGTTTGTCGGAAGCTTCGGAGACGGACAGAAGAACAGAAAATGGCCGATCTCCCTCCAGAGCGAGTAAATCCATCTCCACCCTTTACCTACTGTGGAATGGATTGCTTTGGACCCTTCTATAGCAAGCAAGGACGTAGTGTGCGAAAACGATATGGTCTCCTTTTCACCTGCTTCTCCTCCAGAGCCATCCATATTGAAATGCTGGAGGATCTATCTACAGACTCATTCATAATTGGACTGCGCTGCTTCATTGCTATACGTGGAGCCGTACGCCAGATCAAATCTGACCAAGGCAGTAACTTCCTAGGAGCCAAGAATGAACTGCAGGAAGCCCTCACGGAATTAGATGGTGATAAACTGACGAACTTCCTTTCTAAGAAGCAGTGTGACTTCATCCTAAATGCTCCTGGATCAAGTCATGTTGGTGGATTGTGGGAGCGTCAAATTAGAACAGTCAGGAGTGTTCTCAACGCGACCCTTGGACTCTCACCTGGAAACCTACCTGATGCTTCCCTCCGAGCATTCTTCTATGAAGCAATGACGATAGTTAATAGTCGTCCTCTCACTATTGAAAACCTACATGATCCCAACAGTCTTGAGCCACTGACACCAAACCACTTACTTACCCTGAAGTCTACCATGGCCCTTCCTCCCCCCGGCAAGTTCATAAGGGAAGATATGTATGCGAGAAAGAGATGGCGCCACGTACAATATTTGGCCGAGCAGTTCTGGAGCCGTTGGCAGAAAGAGTACTTAGCCAACATTGCCTTTAGACAACGCTGGCACACCCCAAAGAGAAACCTGCAGATTGGGGATATAGTCATAATGAAGGATGAAGACTTGCCCAGAAATGAATGGAGGTTGGGAAGAGTCGTAGAGACTACAATGGACAGAGATGGACTGGTTAGGAGAGTGAAGCTCTGTCTAGGTGACAGGAAACTTGGCAAAAATGGTGAACGTCTTACTAAGCGGTCAGTGCTCGAACGGCCAGTTCAAAAACTAGTCTTATTGTTGGAAGGTGACTAGTCCATTCCTTGCATACTATGCTTCTGTTGTTTGGTCATTATTTGTATTATGAAATCATTGTGTTCTTTCTTCCTATGTTTATGGAGTTATGTTTTTGAACACTAATGATTTGGTGGGAGTGTAAATGACCCAGATTATTTGTTTATTTGATATTTTTCAAACAGTTAAATCCCTGAACGAATTATACCTTATAATATAGATTAAACTCTTATTTTGAAATTCGTAACGGGCAACTTCCGGGAAGGAAGATCGTACCGCAACTGCTTGCCGCAGAAAGGATTAAATGAGAAGGTTATCGTTTTCCATCCATCTTAAAATTAGCATCTAGCTGGAAGGCGAACAGGTATGTTTGTGTGTTGTACTTGTTGTTTACATTTCGGACAATTTGTAAATGTATTACTTGATTGTTAATAAGTTTATGAGCGATCTAGCAGGCTGATGCTAGCACCTCCTGTGCCTTTTCTGTGAATTGATTAGCATAACAGAAACGTGGTTATATCAAGTGAATGTTTGTTTTATGTTATGGTTACAGCTCTTACGATGTGTCTATGGCAATTTGTGAATAAATGGGTTGGAATACCCCACCATGGTCCATCCGTAATGATCATTGAGTGCATCGTCTGAATAAAGTCCGGCTGGAATGCTACACTAACAGCGTTACTTTTTTCAGTAACAAGTAATTTAACTAATTACTATTTGTATCATTAAAATTCTGTTACTAACAAGAAAATGCGGTCCGTTACTATTTTTCAACAAACAGACAGTTGAAGCTGTGTTCAGCTTACTGCATCTTATATCAGTTGCACGGAATAGCTGTAAGTAATCTGGGCGCTATAGCTTTAAGCAGCTGCGCGCGCTTGTGCGGACGGCAATCACTTTCTGCCCAACCATCACTTTTTGGCACAACACCTGGAGCTAAGGGGGCAAAACAATCGCATGAGTGCTGCAGTTTGACTGAGGAAGAATAAAGTAGTCGTGGTAAGCCAATCACATGACCACTTAAAGACAAAACAACAAGGTGATATATACCAGTTTTTAAATTGTGTTGAGAGGCCACATAAAACCAGAGTCATGATAAACAATAAATACACAGCGTTTTTTCCTCAATAGTTTCGTCACGTTTACTGTCCAAGGACAGCGCAGCAAGCACTCTCTGCTTATGAGCAAAAAAAACAACAACAAAAAAACCTCACCCCTTTCGTGTTGGTGGAAAAATGTACCATGTTGACCAATCAAAAATGATATGGCAACATGACATTTGGTTGTTTAGAAAGAGGGGGGAGGTTTAGGGAGTGGGAGTGACAGAGAGTGAGAGAGAAAGAAAGACAACAGAAAAGGAGAGAGAGCGAGTTTTGAGATGTTGAGAGATTTGTGACGTTTAGCGTGTTTGGAGTGTGTAGTTAATGTGTTGTCTTATGTAGTTAGTGTGTAGTGTTGTGGATAGTTTTGCATTGTGTGTAAGAACAATGAGGCGACTGCTGTCTCCAGGTAGAAACAGGAATGATACACCTGCTGCTGTCAGACCTGCAGGTATCAGGCTGTGATGTTCTCCTTTATAGTGGACAGAAATTAATTTTTTGGAGTGGCACAAATAATTTGTGGCATCTTATTGAATGCAGAACAGCTGATTGTTCTGTAAATAGTTTGAAATGGTTATTAAAAAAAGGGTAAAATGGCTGCAAAATTTGTGCATATGATTTTAAAATTGACAATTTATATTTGCATTTAAAGTTATGAAATATGATTTAATAAACATGTTTCTAGTTATTACAGTAAAAAAATATATAACTTTATCTACTGTCTGATTTTAGATCAATTTTTTTAATACAGTATGTCAAAATGAAAACATCTGTAAAAGACACATGAGGTTGTGCTGAAAAGGATGATACCAAACAAGGCAAAGTAAATAATATTTAAAGGTGAACTTTAGAGGTAAAATCAAAAGGGGTTAAAAATAGCCAATTATACCCCGGATCCCAGAGGGTTAAACATTTTTTAAAGTAAACCAGTAGTTACTTTTCAAGTAATTAATTACTTTTAGAATCTGGTAACTCAGTTACTAACTCAGTTACTTTTTTGAAGAAGTAACTAATAACTATAATTAATTACTTTTTCAAAGTAACTTGCCCAACACTGGGGTCAACATACCTGAACCAGACGATTGATTCATTACCAGACCTCAAGACATGCTGAGGAGGGAATTTAGCATTTTAAATAAGCTGTGCTGGATCAAGCACACATCCAAAACCGGCAGGACACTGGCACTTGAGGCCATTAGTTGCCTACCCCTGACTTAAATGAAGTGGATAGGTCTTCACTTATCCTCTGCCAATTTTGAGTTTACCTGGGGCTTAAGGAGACAGCTGGTAGATGTCAGCCATGGAAATATTGAGAGTGGAACGGGGCTCACCTACACTGCCACTTTTTCCACCATGATCATAAATACTATGTGGCACTATGTTAAAGACAGAGACATGAAAATAGTAGCCCCCCATTTTATTTGATGCTCAGAGACATTTTCTTTTAGTAAGGCCACTGCAATGTAAGTTTTACTGTTGTATAAGTTCCGCCAGCAGAGGGCGCTCGGTCCTGTACGCATCGGTAGCTGACGCTACAGTAGAAGAAGTAGTGTCAGTGATGAAGAGGCAGCGTACGGCCCGCGCGCCAAAGATAACTGATTGCCTTATTTCTGTTTTTACAGGTAAGCTGGGTGGTTGATAATATAAACAGATGTTATAAAAGTGACAGACAGCAGTGGCGATTAATGATAAATGTCTTGTTTGTGGCGAATGTTAAGCTAAAGAGCTAATTTCCAAGTTGGTCCAGTTGTTAGCCTGTGCCGATTCAAGTGTTAGACTGTACCGAAACTCTGTGAGCTCGGTGCAGGTGTATTTTTGGGTTAAAGCCACAAGATATATATTTTGCACAATAAGAGAAAGTGTGAATTGCTTTATGTTTAGTTCATGAAGAGTGAATGCTATAGAAATATGTTAAGAAAAACATTTATTTGAAAGAGATCTAGTTTATTAAATACAGTTAAGAAGACAGGTTGATAAATAGATTAAAACAGTAGCAAAAACAAGATAAAACTGTAATGAGTTCACTATGTTGTTCATGTGCATAGTAAAATGTATTTGTGTAATTTAACCAGTTTACAAAGGTGGTGCATGTGAATGTGAAATTGTATAAGTTACTTGTATAAAGTAATGTCAGCTACACTAGAAGAAGTAGTGTCAGTGATGAAGAGGCAGCGTACGGCCCGCGCGCCAAAGATAACTGATTGCCTTATTTCTGTTTTTACAGTTTTCTGTAAAAATAAATATGTTGCACGGGAGATGAGTTGGCCCATCATTTCAACAGTGTAACATATTTTGGCGAGCCAGCCAGGAGGTGGCGCTAGTGAGTCAACACCATCACCAACCACCTTCTTTCCCAAGAGACGAACCTTCAACCAAAAGAAATGGAATCACTGCAACCTCTGCGTGACGAAGTGAGTGCAGCCTTGTGGCAGTTGGAGAGAGAGCATCTTGTGGATGTCTGCAGGCGACTGAAATGTTCCGGCCTGGACAGCGCAGAGTCTCACAGCAAGACCAAGAGGACACTCATCAGGTTGGCAGAGGGCATGTTTGATGATGTGGAGAAAAGTGAGGAAGAGGATCAAGTGAAACAGTTTTATAAAGACATTGCTGTATACATCCAGAGACTAAGCAAAGGGGAGAGTCAGTCAGAAAGGGAACCCCAAGGCATAGAGTCTATGCAAAAGAAAGATCTTGAGAACACCGCATGTGCTACTCCAGTACATATTGCAGATTACTCACCCAGAGCCCGACCAGAGGCAATGCGAACTCTTCAAGAGGTAACACTGAAGAGGGAGTTTAAAATCTGTGGGCAGATTGGAGAGCATGGGCAGAAGGACAAGCTATCCTATCTCAGCTTGATTCGCCAGATTGAGAATGGGAGTGAAAAAGGGCACTCGGAGACTGAAATTGTGGAAGCGGTAATTAGGGCCATTAGTCCAGGAACGCCCCTAAGAGACATGTTGGAGATTAAACGTGGGTTAACACTTAGCAAACTGCTCACCATATTAAAGGGACACTATAGGGAAGACAGCCCCACTGAGCTTTACCATCAGCTCCTCAATATCTCCCAAGAGCCCAAAGAAACTGCTTTAAACTTTGTATTTCGTGCCATTGAACTTAAAGAGAAGTTGTTATGGAAAGCGGCAAATGAGGAGACAGATGAACTGTATAGCAGAGCCACCATCCAGCGCAAATTCCTCCGCTCCATTGAAACTGGGCTGCTCAGTGACTCTATCAAGTATCAGCTACTGCCCCCCCTAAACGACATAACCATAACAGATGAAGAACTGATTGAGAAAGTCAATGAAGCTTCAAAGCTAGAAAATGAAAGATTTGAGAAACGGAAAAGGTCCACTGCAGCCAAGATTCCCAGGGTCCAAGAGCTCCAAACAGAATGCCAAACAGCCCTGACATCTGCTCAGAGCCCCTCCAAACCCAGAGAATCCCCCGCTACAGTGGCCATGACAACAGTGAAAAATAAAGAGACTAAGTCAGACACGCAGCAGATTATAGAAGAACTACGTAAAGAGATGAAACAAATGTTTATGGCTGCTATGGAAACCAGTCCCCGCCCCATGGCACCAAAGCAACGAGAAAAAGGCTGTAAAAAGTGCAAAGAAGAGGGGAAAGGAGAGAACTGCCTGCACTGTTTCAAATGTGGGCGAGAGGGCCACTACTCCCGTGGATGCCGAGCACCGAGACTGCCATCGGGAAACGGGGAGGGACTACTGAGATGGGACCAACAGTAGTCCAAAGCCCACGGTCCCATAATGAACAGTCAAGCCCACCAACATCCTCCAAAGAAACTGCAGCTGGTGTCCCATCAGCGGTAACTGAGGTTCACTATCTACCCCCTCAACGAAAGTCACGGTTAGTAAGCCTAGTGGGAAACAGATGTACTGTGAACTGTTTTATGGACAATCACCCAGCTAAGGTGTTGTGGGATTCAGGGGCACAGTCCAGCATAGTAAATGAAAACTGGCGGCAAAACCACCTCCCTCACACAGTCGTCAGACCTGTTTCAGAACTGTTAGACAATGAGACGCTCACAGTGTTTGCTGCAAATGACACACCCATTCCCTACATTGGTTGGATAGAAGTCAGCTTCAGACTAGGCAGTGATTTGTCCCCAACCAGTGAGCTGCAAGTTCCAATATTGGTATCCAGTGACCCGGCTGTGGCCAGTGATCCCATCATTGGCTACAATGTCATTGAAGCTATCGTGAACCAGGAAGAAGTAAAGACCAAAGGAGGAAGAAAACAGCTAGCACACTATGTGAGTAAAGCATTTGAAATAACTGTACGCACTGCACATAATGTTGTCAAGCTTGTGCAGAACAGCAGTGAAGGCCCAGAGACAGGTGTGGTAAGGACTGGTGTAAGAAGAGTGCCTTTGTCAGCGAACCAAGTCACTACAGTTTATGTACGGGCACACGTTAGTTCACATGCCCGGGGCCAAGACATGCTCTTTCTACCTGATGGAGCTGACCCACAACCAGAGGGCATAATATTCGGTGATGTACTGGTGAAAATCCCAGAC